ACCGACACCTCTCGTTTGCAGAATTTTTTCCACTCTCCAGAAATCGTGAGAACTCTTTAATACTTTTTGTAACTCTTGTTCGTAAAACCTTCCTTTCAGAACTGTTCCTTTTAAATCTTTAAGCAGATATGTCGGAGGACTCGAAGGATATCTCTTATATATGACAAAAACCTCATCCGTCCAACTGGGCAAATAACCTTTGCGAAATGCTCGCCTTGTTTTAGAAATCCTCACCTGGTCATTTACCTCAAATTTGTATCTCGGTTTTATGCTATAGCCATACAGTTTTTCAAAAATTTCACTTTCTAGTTCCGGCTTCACGTCGGCAGGTGCATAACCAGTACTACGATGAATACTCAAATTATAGCTTTTCAAAACTGATTTCAAGACATGCACATACCTGTAGGAATTGGTGTGTAAGTAAATATTCGATAGAGTTTAGATTTTAGCGTTCGATTAAATCGCTCTACAACACTCGCCTTGTATTCGCTGTTAGAGGCATAATGATGTATTCCATGTCTTCTAAAATAGTCACGAACTTTTTTATTAAAAAATTCTTTTCCCTCATCTGTTTGTAAATTCACCACAAAATTTGTCTCCTTAAATAGCTTCTTAAATCCTTCGAGTACAGAATCTGCACTCTTCGATTTTAAAGGAATGGCATACCCGCGTTTAGAAAACACATCAATTGCTGTTAATAAATATTTTACACCATCGTTATATTTAGAGAGCTTAGACAAATCAATCAAATCGCATTGCATTAATTCTCCAATGCCGAAAGACAACACCTTCCGTCGTTTGAAATTAAAGCGAACTGGTTTATGTAACGTATAAGCATCCTGTTTCATTAACCATCGACGCGTCGTTTTCAACGGAAGTTGTGCGGCACGAGCCAATCTTACCACTCCGCCATACGAAGCGGGGTTTTCTACATCGTAATAGATATTTTCTAAAATTGCGTCGGCATCGTTTAAAGCTCCTCCCATTTCTCTTTATAAGGTGCTTGACTTTGGGATCTCCCTCTTCTTTCCTGCTGTACTTTATATCTCTGCTGTTTTCCCTTTTGTTTGATGATCGAAGTCTTTCACATTTGATGGGGGCCATCGAAAGACATTTTCCTCGCCGCTCGAGGATTTATTTTCTGTGAGGGGGTAGTGCGATGAGGTATCTCTCATGCGAGACAACACATTCTGATTCCCTATCCATGAGCGCGGTATATTAATTTCTTCGATAGCCTTTAGAAATACATCGAAATGCCTTGGCTCTTGAGCATTTTTTATATTTCTCATTAGGTAATTAAAGAAATCCACCATACTGGATCCCTGAATCGTTTTACCGTCAAGAATCATTTCTCCGCGATCGTTCCATGAATAAAGCCTCGATTTTAATTTTTCGGCGACCAGAGGCACCAATCTAGAAAATTTCTGGGGTGTTGATAGAATAATATCCCTAATAACAGGATCTTCCACTTGCTGGAATCCCTTCTCTTCTTTGGTTTCTTTCGCTTCATTCGCAAGGCTCACACGTATAGGTTCTGGTGGTGCGTGCACTGTTCTGTGATACCGCGTGATTAGTTGCCCCAACAACTTTGCTTTCATGTCGTCGGGTAATTTTGCTCTTTCTAATAACGTGTCTATGTCATCTTCCAATCTCAATTCTGGCTTCTGAAGATGATAAGACGATACCAATTCTTCGGGTATGAGAGCCACTCTTTTGGCCATTGTAGCCCAAAATTGGGATTAAGAATTTTTTTACAGTCGTTTGCTAATAACTGGTCCTAAAATACCACCCAAGGCAGATATTATTGCCGGAGCAATCAATGGTAAAAAGCCTCCCGATTGGTTGACTAAATTTTTTTTTTTCTTTTGTATGCTTTCGTGTTTTTTAGATAGCAACCTTAATAGATTCTTATATTTTTTCAGCTTACGTACATTAACGGGGATATTTCCATTCAAAATATTTAAACAAACTTCGCAGAGAGATAAAATTTGATCCTTATTTGCAGTCTGTAACAAAGCACGTTTCTGCGATGGGTGGGAATGAGCTAATATTCGCAAGAAATGATACTGCTTTTTCAAATTCTTCTTCGTCATTTCGGACGAAATAACCACAGTATTCCGTCTTTATCTGGAAACAGATTTTCGCGCATCCGATACTCCTCCGATGTTTGAGGGTGTAAGTCAATAACTAAATAACCAAAGGGTTTCGTAGTTGCTTTTATATAAGCATCCGTCAAAAAAATGCCAGTTCCGAGGATATAACTGTCGTCCTAAGCAACTAACTTGGGAGACATCTCTTGCATTTTTAAACAAAATGATATAATGCGCATTAAGACTAATGTCGCGCATAACCTTTAAACGAGGGAATAAGTTTTGTAATATCACTATAACGCTGACTTCACAATGGTGTGAGGCGGCAGTAAAAAGATCGGCAATTTTCTCATTTAGTCGATGCATCAGGTCATCGACCACTATCAAATCCCCTTTTTCGTATCTATCCGGAAGACCTTGAATGAATTCAATGTCTGGGTTCTTCCAAAACCAAGGTGCGGAATACGAATAACACCATTTTACTTTTCTGATAGGGGCTTCATATATTCGATTTCGTATCATTTCGCGTACCAACGACCTGATTGACTCGGGCCAAACCAAACAGGAACTTGGATGTTGAATTTTTTTTTTTTTTTTTTTTCTTTAACAAAAATATATTACATTCATCCAACCGTTTCCGATATCGAGGACTCAAAATGTTATACATTTTGTCAAAAACTGCATAGTTCATAAATTCCCCCTCATCATTTGTACGCCAAATTATCGCTTTCAACATATCGATATCTTTCCAAAAATAACGTATATCATAAACTGTTTTATTCTCTTTTACACAAAAAAACAATTTTCGACCAATATAAACTGATTCCTTACAAGTAGAATTTCTTAAAATCCACTTTCACCCATTCACAATTCCTCATTAATTCCGAAAAATATTCCTACGACGACTATTGTTATTGCCAAAAAAATAAAACGAAATTTTATAATAAAAATACTCCATTTTGTTGCACTCATCTTGCATCTACTACTCTTAATTCTCACTTTCAACTCCCTTTTTATACTAAATATTTCCAAAAAGAAAAAAAAAAAAAAAAAAAAAAGAAAAGAAAAAAAAGAAACGAATGGAATGACTGACGGGGACAAAGCAAGAAAACTACCAAAACGAAGATTACAAAAAACGCGTGAATGTCCTTCACTTACACCACCATCCAAAAAACGTTAAAAATACTACAAAAAAGCACTCACAGCTGGTGGCTATCAAACAAAAGAAACCTACCGATCGACAACAAACATGTTCCAAAAGTCAACAACCGAGAGGTCAGTCTCTAACTAAAGCAATCCCATTTTAGAAAAAACATGGTATATGACAAACAGTCTCGCCTACATTACCGCCTACTACTATATCCAAGTACTTTTGAAGGTCGACTGCACTTCCGGGGTGCAGGGATACTCAAATCCTAACTACTAACGTCTAACTCTTCAGCTTTCCCTTTCTCGAGAGCATACGCAAGCCCTTGAGTGGTTGCATACTTATGTTCAACAAGTTCTTACAGGCAGGCCTCATCAACATCAACAGGTCGGCCAGAGTACTCTACTTCTTCAGTATAGTTCATAGTCCTTGTTTTTCAACTTTAGGTACGAAACCTTCAGTGTCATATGATATAACAATGGTAGCGTAGCCGAGTGGTCTAAGGCGCTGGTTTTAGTACCTAAAGTTGTACACACGATTTGGTAGATTTGGTAGTGATTCTGTAGCTGACTTTTTGCCCTCAAGCATTTTGCTGACTTTTTGCCCCTCAAAGAAATAAATGCCAATATTGATTATATAGCAAATATTAAGAATGGAGGCATCGCGATCAGCAGCACTTCAAAGGAAGAACGCAACAAGATTACTAACGCCATAAACGTTTCCGAAGAAGCAAATAACTTAATAGAAATAAAAACACCAAGGGTTAAAAACCGAAAAATCTCAATCAATAATATCCCGAATACGTTACCACCAAAATTAGTTCTCGAAGAACTAGTTGACCAACTAATGATTGATAAAGAGGAGATTTCACCTCTCTTTTACACAAAAGGCAAAAACCCCAACACCATTAAGTGGGTTCTCGAATGCTCCCCTCGTACTCTATCAAAATGTATTGAACGTAGGAAAATTATAATTAATGGAGCATTCTCCCAATCTCAGAATTCTACGGAGTGAGGAGATGATGCTACAGATGCCAAGATTTCACATTCTGGTAGTGCATGCATGCAAATTTAGGACTTATTGCGCTTTCTGTGGCGGACCTCACTCCATAAGGAATTGCAAAGAAGACGTACCGGATTGTATCAACTGTAAACTGTTCAACTGCACATATGGAACCTACATCAATACTTCACATGCTGCATTCACCCCCAAATGCCCATTATATCAGAGGGAAATCTCAAAAATTAAAGCTGCTGCAGTTTACACATCAAAGCAAGAAGAATAGTTAGCTTACTACCTAGTTTCTTTTAAGTTAATTTAAACTTCCCTTTCTGTACGTGAATTCATCAAGTACTACCGCCGCCCCTTCAGTTCCCCAATCTCAACTGTTTACGACAATTTTACACAATAATTCGCCTCCACAGGACAAGCTTAGAATCCTTCAAATAAACTTAGGCAGAGGAAAAAAGGTGTCAGAACAACTTAGTGAAGTAATTGAAAATAACAATCATGATGTATGTAATTTGCATTACTGAGCCGTGTATTGCGTAAAAGGTGAAGTTAGATGCCTTCCCCTTCACTGGCAAATATTTCAATCTACCGAAAAGGATCCTCTAGTTAACCCACGTGCCAGTATCATAGTCACCAATACCAAATGGTCGCCTACAATTATATTAAGCCATAGAGATGTGATGACGATAAGTATTAACTGTAAATCAGAACAGCTATTAATTACTTCCATTTACTGCTCACCACGAGAGGATATGGGGCCGAATCTCCACACATTAGAAAATATCTTTAGTAATCTCAGAAGATCACAGCACGTGATTACAGGTGACTTCAATGCTCACCATCAAATGTGGCATTACAACAATACAGATAATAGAGGACATACACTAGCTGACTTTATTGCTACACACAATCTGTATATACATAACCTCTCTTCAGACACTCCTACATTTGAAACGACAAATGATAAAGGATGGATAGACTTGACACTGTCAACATTGAGTATCTCAAATAAAATACAAGAATGGAAAGTTCTTGATGACCCAAGACACGCAGATCATAACTACATCTTATTTGAATTATCAGGAGAAATACCCGACTTCAAATTAAGAAGATTATCAATCTCAAAGCAGAAAGCAAGGAAGTTTGGAAGAAAATTCTCCACATGGCTTCAGTATGCGGAGGAACTTATAGATAAATGCACATCACCCGATGCAGTCCATGATATAATGGAAACAATTATCAAAACAATACAGGAGACAGCGACGAAGACTAACTGGTGGACAAAGGAATTAAGACGTGAAAAGCAACATGCAAAGGCTCTTCGTAGAAAACTAAAAAATGCTCCGGAAGGGTTGAAAATGGAAATATGGATAAAATACAAGCCACAAACATTAGCAAATTACAAAAAGAAAATAACAGAGGCAAAATTGCGCAGCTGGAAGAATTACTGCTGTAATAATAAAGAAACATGCGGCCAGCTGTATAAAATGGCTACAAGTAAAGTTTTCAGTCTTACACAAATACTCTTCCAAAAGATCAAGATCAACTCTCACATAACAGCCAGCTTGGTAATGTCACTGGAAAGATTCTCAACAATATTTAGATGCTGTCTTCCTAAAAGATAATGCAGCAGACAATGGCCATTCACATTCCGATATTAGATACAATAATACCTCTCCAAATACTGCAGACGATATGGAATTCCACTCACAAGAAATTTAAAAAATGATTAATGTCTTCAGAATAATAAAGCTCCGGGACAATGACGGATTAGAGAGCAGGATTATTAAGATAATTCATCACGCAATGCTTTACTGTTCCACAAACTACTAAACCTCTGCCTCAAATTTAATGTCCTCCCGAATTGTCTCAAACAGGGATAATACTATTCAAGAAAAATAATAAAGATCCTACGGATCCGGAAGCCTTCAGACCAATCAACTTCTAACATGCAATAGGTAAACTTTTAAAACGTGCAATCGCGGGCAGATTACGCCACCACTTAGAGAAAAAACGAAACCATAAGCCCCAACCAATACGGCTTCAGACCTCTCAAATCTACATCACACGCGATAGTAGAACTTCAAGAGCAGATCCGTAGAATAAATCTTCAAGCTCTCCATACAGCAGTACTCTGCATGGATCTCAAAAATGCGTTTGATTCCGTGTGGTGGCCTGGTATCCTTGAAGCCTTGCGCAACATTAAATGCCCTCGGAACATATTCAAGCTAATGAATAGTTTCCTAACAAACAGAGCAACGATAATCATCAGCAACAACTGTATAGTAGAAAGAAGAATAACGAGGGGCTGTCCACAGGGCTCTTGTCTAAGTGCAGACCTGTGGAACAATCACCTTCAATTATATCACCTCCTACAAGTGGCCGGACCATACAAAGCTCAATCGTCTTTGCCGACGATGTGGCCTTTGTAACAAATGGGATTCAAGAGACATACTAGAAAAGAATAGTAACGAGACTCTCTCCATATTCCATTCCCTCTGCGTCAATCAAAAACTAATAATTTCAGAGCCCAAATCACATATTATTTATTTCCAAAACCGGGCAAATCGCTACAAAGGCTACCTTGCATTAAAATCAATAATAGAAGAATCAAGATCTCAAAAGAAATCAAATTCCTCGGATTGAAAATTGACCAAAAGTTTTCTTGGATCCCACCACCTCATGGAAATTCGGAAGAAGACCCAAACTATTTCTAGAGCCCTCGCAAGGATGCAAGGCACAACGTGTGGGCCTCAAGTCGAGGAGATGCAAAACAATTCTCTATAATACCGTGATCGAAAAAATAATCCTCTACGGCGCATCAGCATGGACTCACCCTATGACAGTGAAAAAGAAAAGACTCTTAGCTTCGATCCAACGCCCCTTCCCTTACAAATAGCAAAAAGCATACAGAACTACCTCAACGGCAGCTCTCTGTGTATTAACAGGAATCCCACCCTCCACCTGAAAGCAAAAGAAGATGCAGACTTAGCCACGTTATTCCACCTCAAGAAAACATAGAGGTAGAAGATCAAAACCTGTGCCCCTTGATTTTGAACAGCCACGAAATCCTTACCTAAGACACCCTGCAGTACATGCAAAACCTCAGAATATCTACAAAGAAGACACCCTCAGTGTACCTTCATTTCCAGTCGTGTACACAGATGGGTCAAAGTTAAACGAAGAAGTAGGATGCGCGTTCTTTGCACTCCTCTCAGAACAAGAAACAACAGAATGGAAAGGACACCTAAGGAAAACAACAACAGCGTTTTCCAAGCTGAGCTTTCAGCCATAAAACACGCTATTCTATGGTCTCATCAAAAGCATCTAACATATGTTACCATCTACAGTGATAGCCAAGCGGCAATTAAAGCTGTCAATGATTGCAACAAACAAATCATCAATAGTGCAAGATATCTACGATTTATATATCACAGCGCAAGAGAACATTTATAAAAATAAGTGGGTGGGTAAAAGCGCATGCTGGACAAGCCCAAATGAAAGGGCAGATGCGCTTGCTAAAAATGCAGCTCAAGACCCATCTTTACCTCCAATCAATTCCCATTCCCTAAATCGTATGTGAAACATATGTTGAAAAAAAATTACATTAAAAAAATGGCAAACTGAATGGGAAAATGCAGAAGTAGGTAGAAGGCTTTTCAACTTCTACAAGAAACCCACACATGATCCAATCTCTTATAACTTCTTCATCAACATATTCTTATCTGGGCATGGTCCTTTCCCCACGTACTACTTTGCACGAAATTTGAGCGAATCAGACAAGTGCGTATGTGGGGAAAAGGGGAGACCCAGAGCACTATATTTTCAAGTGCCAGCTCACAAAAGAGCTACACTGCAAAGGAAGGTCACAAATTACGCCTGAGTACATTAAATGCATGCTAACGATACCTCATTTACAACAAAAGGTTTCCTTGATTATGAAGAAACTTTTTGCATATTAAAAGAGAAAGACATATGTCAAAATGCTATCGCATCTGTATAAATACCTCTTATTCTACAACTTGCAAAAATAATGCAAGATTTCAGAAATATTGCAAGTGTCTGAAACAGGCTAAATATGGTATAAATAGTTTTTTATAAAATAGTTACATTAAGACTTTGTGACTGTATTAGTGTAATAATTAAATCATTAATTAAAAAATAATGTAAATAATATACGACTCTATTAGATATATTAGTGTAAATGTAAGTATTATGTGATTTTCTAATGTATATTTTCTGTATTTATGATACATTAATTTACAAAAATAATAATAAGTAAGACTTCAGTGCTGATGCATTTGTGTATAACAATGTTAAAAAAATGAAAGGAAATGTATTAATAAGAGAATTCGCCTTAGTAATTCAACTAAGTATGATAAAAATGCACAAAAAAAAAAAAAAAAAAAAAAAAATCTTTCAATTAGCTCTTTAAAATGATGTTTTTTAATTCGATGTAAACTAGATATACTAATGTAAATATATTGTTTGTATGAAGTACAATGTACAATGAAAGTTTGTATGTATGTTCGAAGTAATTATGTTATTCAATCTGCATAATCCAACTTTTGTTGATAGGTTAATTTCTTTGCAATAATTGTATACTATGTCTTTGTAATTGTATATTCAATACGTAAGTCTAATATTAATGTAAAATTACTATGTAAATGTCTTGGTAGGCTAGCATCCGATGCGGGCCAACTAAAAGTCCAGCGGGCTACAGTAGTGCGGCGGAGCAACACCTGTAAAAGTCACTGACGAAGTTCTGGTGCTCCGTCCACTTTTCCCTGTCCCTGCAACAGAACTAGAAGAAACTGATGGTCCTAATCCGGTAGTGTGATAGTTCCATTTCCCACATCTTGTCCTTAATGATAACAGTACTTTTTTATAAATTTCACAACACACTGTTCTAAAGCAAGTTCCTCTCTTTCAAATGCCGAAAATTTTTTGACAAAATATGATCAAATATGCCAGCGTGAAATGTTTGCGCAGAGGATATTTGCAGTGGCAGGATACTTTCATTAAAACTCGAAAGCTTGTTTTGATTGTTGGGAAAGACATTTCATGTCGTAAGAAGTCACATCTTTGTAATGCCCGGAAAATGTTTTCTGGTACTCTGCTTCTTGAATGACATAGTGCTTGTTTTTTGAACTTTCGGTACCAAATATTCAGTGTCATGTAATATAATATTAATACTTAAAGTTGTACACATGATTTTCTCACATTCTGTAGCTGACCTTTTGCAACATAACTGGAAGCAAATGACGATTCTAATCTGCTAGTGTGATAGTTCCACTTCAGACGCCTTGTACTTAATGATTACTGTGTAGAGACATTAGGTTATTTCGAAGCTGGAGAGATGAAAAATGAGCAACGTCTTCGCCTGGACTTGAACCACGGACCTCTCGAGTACGCTCCGAGCGTGCTGACCACTACACTACGAAGGCGAGAGAAATACTTTGTATAGTCCCTCTACGAGGGCGACTTGGACCGAATCGCCAAATTCTGATGGTGAAAAATCATCATTCGCCGCCTTTTTTAGTTCGGGCGCCACTGTAGATTTATTAGGTATTTTAGAAGCACGAGAGATGAAAAATGAACAACGCCCTCGCCGAGAATTGAACCACGGGCCTCTGGAATACGCCCCCAGTGTGCAGACCACTACACTACGAAGGCATGCTAAGAAGGGGGGAGAAATACCTTCTAACGATATTTTTTTTATAAATTTCGGAGCATACTGTTCTAAAGCAAGCCTCTTCCGTTCAAATGCCAAAAATTGTTTGAAAATATGATTAAATACGCCAATGTGAAGTGTTTGTCCAGATGACATTTGCAGTGGCACGATACTTTCATTAAAACCTGATAACTTGCTTTGATTGTTGGGAAACACATTTCATGTAGTAAGAAGTCTCACATCTTTGTAATGCACGGAAAATGTTTTCTGATACACTAGTTTCTGGTACTCTCCTTCTTGAATGCCATAATTCTTGTTTTTGAATTTTCGGTCCCAAACCTTCATAAATTATTTATTATTTTTTTTTAATGTTATAGTTTTATATGACATAACATTAGTACCTAAAGTTGTACACATGATTTGGTGACATTCTGTAACTGACATTTTGCAACATATCTGGAAGTAAATGATGCTTCTAATCTGGCAGTTTGGTAGTTCCATTTCAGATACATTGTACTTAATGATAACAATATTTCTGTATACATTACATAACTTGTTCATCAAGTTTATGCGATGTACAGCGCGACTAACACTCTCTTATACTCTTTTAGACAAAGATAAAAAAGATAAAAATAAGATAAAAAGCATATTATTTGGATGGGAAACAAAGAAACAGCGTTGTTTGGAGCGATGAGTCCAAAATATCCATATCTGATTCAGTGACGCAGCTACAGATTTTACGGTCCTTGAATTAGCTACCCTTCTTGTCATTCAAACAAGTCAGAAAGCTATGTAGGGAAATAACTTAAAATTCTACCTTCATTTTTGAAGAAAATTTTAATTTCAAAATTACTTTGTTATTTTGTTTGCTTTTACTTAATTGCTCCAACTGCTGTTATGTAGAAAGTATAGAAAGATTTCTTAAATGCATAACATATACATCTGTTGTTC